AAAAAGTTACAATGGTATTATATTATACATTCCCCGATCGCCTGAAACTATCCCCCCTCCTCCACCACCCACCCCTATTGTTTTTAATTAACAGATTGAAATCCAGACTCAACCTGAATAAATAGGTAGAGCGTCAATGTTATTTAAATTGCGATATAAACTGCTTTTTCATTAGTTCCTGAAGGAATAGTCTACAGAGCATGCAACAATTCTTTCAATTACATAGTGTAGGCCATATGTGGGCCACAAGACAGTAATTCATTGACAGAGCACAAATCATATTTTATTCCACACCAAATGCCAAAAACTGAAGCAAAAATAAAACAAGTCATTTGATTTGCTCTACTACAACAACAACTTGCATTTATATAGCACCCTTCACGTCCTTTCTCTCCTTTCCATAATAATCCTTGCATTTGATATAGCGCCTTATCACGTCTTCGAGACATCTCAAAGCGCTTCACAGAATATACTATAAAGTGAATTGACTGTATATTTTGTGGGCGAATCATGGCAGCCAATTGCGTACAGCAGTGTCCCACAAAGAGTCTTGGATTGAGTGACCAATTTATCATTATTGTTTTTTTTGAAGGAATTATTACCCCCAGAAAAGCGATCCACCAATCGAATAACAACCGGGTTTCTACTTACTGTTAGGTAAACAGAGGTGTGTGGAGTAAGGAAACTTGCCCAACATTGTGCCCTTCCAGGAATCAAACCTAGGTCTCTTGCATGCGAGGCGAGTGCTCTAAACACTGAACTACAGGATTTTTTTTTATCAATGTAATAGAGTTGTGATTAAACTCGGAAAAGCCTTGCTTCCTTCAACCACATAAGAGAGGGAACGTTCTGCCTGTCAGTAAAATTACCAACCTTACTGATGTGCGTTTATTATGGGAAAGCTTACAACATGAAATTCCCATTTTAAGCTTAAACTATCAAGTTCAATAACTTTATCAACCTGAAGGTATGTATGCCCAAGCTTCCCCTAAAAGCCACACTCCCAACATTTACAGAACACAAACTAAGCAATTACGTGATCCAGCACTTAAGTTCCAGAACCAGTTATTTTTTCTTTCAAAAGAATTAAAATGTTCTGCTCTGTCACCAAAGGTTATAAACACACAGAAAAGCAAATACTGTGTGGAATATGATGATGTCATCATGTCATTCGTGGAATACAGATAGAACAATGTGAATATTATTAGTTTTAAAGTTGAACTGATCTGATATCTTGGAGTTTTGCTCAACTATGTTCAGAGAACTCAATTTTCTGCTTAGTTTTACCTGCAGTTTGCTAGTTCCCTTAGGAGAAGAGTGGGCTGATGGAGTCTACGCTAGGGCAAATGTACACCGTCTGTGAAGGGAACACGCTATGCAGGATAAATAGTCTTTTCTTGTCTCATCCTTATGTCTTCTTATGATTCTATACCACATAACTAAAATTAGCAGCAAAGTCTATTGCAATTTCTAAATTAAAGTTTTCTAAAGAGCAGTCCTTTATTGGTTTATGTTTCCACACAGTTGTGAACTAAAAAAAAGACTAGTTGAATACAATATTTATTCAATAGTCAACTCATTATATATTTGCAACATACTTTCTGAAATCTATCCATTGGATAATTACCATATATGCCTACTCTTTATTAGAATTCTAAAGATAATAAAGTGCTACTGAATTTAAACTACACTTAGCAAAAGACTGAGAACAATATTAATTCTTGAGAATGCCATTGCTAAACCACAACAAATTATTCAATGCAACAACTACCTTCGCACAGGGGTAAAATTTCAGAGAGCTGAATGAAAAGCCCAGTGTGAACAACAAGTGAGAGTTATGCATATTGCCTTTGCCAATGTCAGAAAATTCTCTTACAACTCATGGAAAACCTGGACTGCATGCAACATACAAAACATTTTCCCCATTGATCTTCAAGTTAATCAAACTTTCAGTCACTGTTTTCAATCCTTTCACACACATGCAGCTTGTGCCACACAGTTGGTGTGAAATTTAAACATTGACAACTTGCCAAACAAGTATTAGGTTTAGACAATATCTCCAAGTTCAATATCAGTTCTACATTTCCTTTGAGATAAATATATACTGGGAATTATTGAATGCACATTGTTACCACTAAACATATTTTTGGTACTAGGTTGTAACAAAAAATTGCCAAATGTTAGCAATCAGCATGCGATGAATCTTATTAGTAAGTAACAAAGGAATAAGCAACAACTAGCTTCCTTCCAATTTAAGCACAACACAGCAGGCAGGGTACTGTTCAAAGTCATGCCAGTCCCATTTGTTGAAGATTTATTTAATGCTTGCCAGCAGGGCATTGCACCTAATCAGATATGCAGATTTGCATCCCCCAAGTTTGCATCAGGAAGGCAGCAAGTCTAGTTGCAGGACCATGGATAGCATTCACTTTTCCAACAAAAGCACATACATAAATTTATGCCAATAGCTCTATCAACACTTTACTCCTAAGAGCATCTGGAATTTCTATTGGTTTTGATGTGATCTGACCAGGCAAGTTTCAGAATTGATTATTTTATTTATTTTTTCTTTGACAATATTCAACAGCATTAAAAATTAAAGAGCTCCAATGTTTCTGTAAGCATTTTTTATGCAGCTGCCACAAGTGGCATTTTGCAGAGCAAGAAACAAATATCCTTCAGTCCATCATCACATTTGCATTTCATTTTCAGCAATGGCAAGGAAATTCAGCCTTAAAAGATTAATATTTTAAGCACTGAACCACTCAATGTACACTTTTCAAAAATTGTATGTCTTCTATAAGACCTCTGTAAAACCAATTTTATTTATGAATCTACTGAAAAGGCTATTCTTACTAGAGGTTGTATTGGCAAGGGCATGCAAAGCTTTTTTTTCATTTTGGGACTGGGTAATGAGCAAACAGTAACATGCCAGCCAACAACAAAATTACATTTGTTTAAGTGCCTTTCACGTCGGAAGGACATCTCAAGGCGCTGAACAGGTGGGGATCAGGACCCGAGCAAGGGGGCGCAGGGTTCAGATGAGGGAGGGCAGAGAGATAGGAGGGTGGCTGAAGACACAGTCGAAAATGAGGGTCTTGGGTCGTGCCTTGAAGGAGCAGGGGAGGGAGCAAGGCAAAGGGATTGTGGAATGGAGTTCCAAAGGGTGGAGGCAAAGAGGTTGAAAGCCCGGTCACCAATGGTAGGGCAAATCGAGTGGGAGACATGGAGCAGGTCGGGGGCCTGCTCAACGATGGGGGAGGACAAGTTTATAGGGGTTTAGCAGATCAGAGAAGTAGGATGGGGCAAGGACGTGGAGGGCCTTGAAAGTGAGGATGAGGATTTTGAATTCTATCCTCTGAGGGATGAGGAGCCAGTGGAACCGATCGAGGATGGAGGTGATGTGATCACGGAACCTGGTGCAGGAGAGGACGTAAGCGGCAGTTCTGGATGATCTGCAGCTTGTGGAGGGAAGAGTTAGGGCAACCGACAAGGAAGGAGTTTCTGAAGTCGCACCTTGAGGTGACGAATGTATGTATGAGGGTTTCAGTATGAGGGTATGCGGGTGCTGCAAAGTGAATTGACTGTATATTTTGTGGGCGAAACTGTACACTTTGTGTCCGTAGCTACACTAACCGGACAGAATTTTTTTTTACACTCCAGCCCAGTGCTCTTGGGCTCGCTTCACATTGTTGGCCCGCTGCCCCAAGATGGTGTGCAGCAAATTGATCCCCTATCTTTCTATGTAGCTCTTGAACTGGATGCTAAAATCTGCATGGGAGCAACTGTGAGTCACCTTCAATCCATGTGGATGGAAGCTTGGCACCTACTCTACATCTTTCCAACACTCAAGATATGGAGAAATTGTTGCAAGCCCAAAATCACAGGACACCCATCAGAGCTGCAGCAAATTGATATATTAAACCAGGATGGTCCAAACCACTTGACTGCTGAGGGCCGGATGCCCTACTTCAGAAAGGTCCTCGTCCTACATAAGCAATATTTTTGTATTTCCATTCCAGAAACTTAACATAATATTTATACAGCTCCCTTTTCATGTCGGAAGGATGTCTCAAAGTGCTTGACACTGCCAGCTGGGCACCCGAGTTGGGGTGGGAGTTGAGGGGGGTGGGAGTTCCCCTAGGAATGGGGAAAGATGAAGGAATGCATGGTCAAAGAGTTAGGTCTTGATGCACCTTGAAATGGGGGGGGGGGAAAGGAGCGAGTCGAAGGGACTCTTAGAATGGAGCTCCAGAGAACGGGGGCAAAATGGTCCTGGTGGGTGAGGGGTCATGAGGTAAGCTGGTACGTGCTAGGCAAAGGGAACGGCTGGGTTGAGAAATTGCAGAGGTAGGGTGGGGAGGGATGGGAATGGTAAAGGCGGTAAAGGAGTTTCTCACTGGGGAAAGAGATAGCTTTGTGTGAGAAACCTGCGCAGCTCATCGCTCAGTGTCTGACCTTGGTCCACCCCATGGCAACTGAGGGAGGCTCTTGCTTACCCCTCCCTCCCCTCTCTCGAGGGCAGTAGAAATTTGGGGCCACACTGGAGTACAAGTTCACTTGGAATGCGGTCTCTGCCAGTTGGACCACCCTGAACTAAACCATAATATCACTGGACAAGCAATTGAGTGTTCTTGAAACAGATTAAAATAAAATATCTTAACTTGCACAGAAGCTTCAAATGTTTAAACCTCCCAGTACTGAAAGACCTTTTTCAGCTTCCAAAAGATGCTGCATTTTCCTTCATGAAGATTATTTTCTGCATCTTTCCCCAAATCCCATCATCATAAATGTACAAGACAAACGTGATTTTTTTAACAAAACTAAAATATTGGTGCTATTTAAAAAAAAAACTTTTTGCATTGAACATAGATTAGTCCTCAGAAAGATTACTATTAGTTGGGAAAAATGCTGTGTTTCTGGATCAATGAACTGTGTTACTACAATGTCATTTCTTCTTAAATTTCTGACTACGTGGTGCTAATGGATGACAATGTTACCTTCTTTTAGCATATCTGGAATATCTGCTTGGTACCGAGGGCCCACTCTTATTTCTCCTTTGTCGGCCAGGAGAGTTTTCTGTAAAGGATCATATACCAAAGAATAGAAAAAACCATCCTGTAAAAGAGAAAGTAAGTACATTAAAGTCGTCTGTAGTAGTTCTATTTAAGCAAGGAATAAAAAATAAGGTTTTTCGGCATGTCGCTCCAGTTATATTAAATTTCAAAGAATAACTGATGGCTAGGGATATATACAGTAAAACTCATAAGTCATATCAGTCAGGACCATAACATTTAATATGACTTAAGCGAAGTCCAAGTTGCAGGCAAACTGTATAGGTCATAGAAAACTTGATTTAATCAATAATACAATGCGCATGCGTAATTCAATGTAGCCAGTAAGTACGCAGTTCGTCACTGCAGCTAGTAAATGTGTATGTGTATGTGTCAAGACTATATTTCCCGCGATTCAATGTGTCTTAACCGATCACCACAATGCACACTTACCGGCAAACATTGGAAGCTCCCTCAGTACTGCTTTGCCACACTGGAGTGCAAGTCAGCAAAATGTCAGAAAATATATCATTAAACACTTAACTATATTTTACCTCCTTATCCAGGTAGCAGGAAACTAACTCAGTTTCGTTGAGAAGCGAAATGCTGCATTTGCCTCTGGGGGAAAGAACAGACATATTTGGGTCAGCAAAACGCATTGTGTTCAATTGATAATAAATCTGAAATATTTTGGGCACTAAAATAAAATCTATAAACTTTTACAGTGATGCTAAATCTACACGTCATTTGTCTCAGACATCTATAACAGCTAGTAAATATTTTCCAACTGCAGAAATAAAGGACATCTGTTAATAAGCGCCACACTGGAGTACAAGTTCACTTGGAATGCGGTCTCTCCTGTGGACCGACTGTCACCAGAAGTACAATACACTGACAGAATGAACCGGCTGATCTGCACAGTCAGCCACGATTACTCCTGAACACTTCTAGTACATCTGTGATAGTGAACACAGTTGGCTGCCAAGGTTTTCTGTTCGCTGCAAGTATACACAGAAAACCAGCCAGTGTGCACAGGAAGTAATATCAATAGTGACCTGACAGCATGGAAGCAGGACCTCAGCCATTTTTTTTTTGGAAACTCATTAGATAACGGCCATTTTTTGAAAATAATATACGCCAGTTGTTACAAATTATTTTTGAGGACAGCAACAAGACATTTAGGGGCAATTCTTAGATAGTTGGCAAATAAACATAGCAGATCAGCAGAGAATAAGATGCACTCATCTACTAAGGTCAATACATTTTCGAGCAATTACCTTCACTTTTTCCACACTTCTACCCCCTGACAATGTACATTTAAGATGTGTACTTCAGGAAGACTACTAGCTAGTGAAAAGCAAATCATTGGTTGAACACCAGTTAGAATTAAATATAGTCAGGTGTTTTTTTTTGCTACTAAGCGGCCAAACATGGCACGTTCTACCTGTATAGCAGTTCCTACCATCCCAAGAAAAATCAAACCACTACCAGTAAACCTTGTTTGAAGCCTCAGCAAAAGGATGGAGGAATAGCTAGATCGGAGTGGGCAATTATTTTGGCAGGCGGCCACTTCATGAATTTGGGTAAGCTTTGCGGGCCATACACTTGATATAGATGTAAATGCTTAATAGTAGCTCAAAATCAAGACTTAAACTTGTACATGCATAAAATAAAGTCTATATAATTGACATTCATTAAAATTAGGTTAAATAAAAACAACTCATTGAGCAGACATTTATTCGATATTTATTAATTTATTCACATATTGATGAGAATGTGAGAAGCTCACTCAATGGGAAGAATGAAAGCACTGATGTGCGTTAACCAAACAACTGAACTCAGGCATTGCCTCCGTTGTTGCAATGCGGAGTTCTGCTGCAAGGTGGTCATCAGTCATCACAGATCTATGTTTTGATTTATTGAATCTCATCACAGAAAATGTCTCCTCGCATATGTATGTTGATTCAAACAACACAAGCATCCTCTGGGCATGAGCCTTTAATTTTGGAAAGGTATATTCATTATGAGAGGAGTAAAAACTGGGAAGCGGCACTGATTTGAATTCCTCCGGAAGCAATGGATCACATTGCAGATCAATAAGCTTGAGTTGGAGGTCAAATGAAGCTTTGTCAACATCAAATGAGAAAGGTGAAGTGACCAAAGACAGGTCATTTTCGATCAAATTAAAATCTTGTAATCGGCAAGAAAATTCGGCATGTAAGTCAAGTAGTGACGAAATATACTTTTTAAAGCTTTGATCGCAAACAGTAATCTGCTGCAAAGTTGGAAAGTGGGCGAATGGCCTGTTTCCTATCTGTCGCGATAAAAGAAATAATTTTGTCATAAATGACTTGACACTGCAATACAAATCGTGCACAAAGGCCCCCTTCCGTTGCAGTTTTGAATTCAGTTCAATCATGTGGCCATGATATCAATGACAAATGCAAAATCAGAGAGCCAATTCGCATCATTCAGCTGTGGGAAATGCAAATCTTTTTGTTTCATGTCCAAAAATAAATCAATTTCTGTTCTCAGTTCCCATACTGCTTTCAAGACCTTTCCTAAACTAAGCCATCTTACATTTGTGTGATACAGAACATCCTTGTGCTCGGATTCCAATTCCTCAAGCAGTTACAAATTGCCTGTGGTTTAATCCTCTTGCTCGAATGTAGTTGACCACTTTCGCAACTGTGTCCACGACATTGCTTAGTTTTAGAATACTCTTACAGAGGACCTCTTGGTGGATAACGCAGTGTAGAAAAACAATATTCTGTTCTGGATTTGTTTCTTTGACTTGATCTTGAACTCTTTTCAGTAACCCAAATTTTTGCCTGTCAGATTTGGGCTTCCATTGGTGGTCATATTCACCAATTTTTTCCACTCTACTCCTAATTTTAAGATACACTTATTTACTGCCGCCAAAAGGTCTTCTCCAGTTGTTGTATCTTTCATTGACTGCATTAATGCCAATTCTTCTGTGAGCTCAAAATAAAAATTATCAACTGGGCTGTGTCTTTGACATCATAACTCTCATCGAGTGCCAGTGAAAAACATGCAAAATTGTTTTGCAACTGCACACTGATTTTATTTTCTTTATTTATTTTCTTTTTTAATTTATTTTATTGGTTTTATTTTCCACCAACACTGGTAAAAAAAAATATTTGGAAATCCATTCTTTGTTGAATATTCGGCCTTCAGCGTCCACTTTCCGCTTCTTTGATAAACTCATTTTACGTCAGCCTGATTCAACACTTAAGGGAATGTGCGCACAACTGAGCAGTGTGATTGGCTGATGTTCCCAATCAGATTCAAATGCGAAATTTGTGTGACTTTCTGGGACTGAATAAAGTATAATTTTTTCTATTGCCAGATACAATGACGGGCCGGGCAGAATCATTTGGCATACCGGATATGGCCCACAGGCCATCTTTTGCCCACTCCTGGACTAGATGAACAGATGAAAATATCAAATTCCAATATCTGAAGGAAAACAGTGCATGAAATTTACATTCTGTAACATTTATTTTGTTGCACATACGTTCTACTCTTACATTGTTGTGTGCCAGCTTGGCTCAGGGGTAGCACTCTCACCTCTGAATCAGAAGGTTGTGGTTTCAAGCCTCACATCAGGACTTGGAATCACAATGTATAAACTGACACTCCAGTGCAGTGGTGGGTAGACAAGACCTCGGTTTGCTTCTGGATGAGATATTAAACCGAGGTCTTGTCTGCCTATTCAGATCCCAAGGCATTATTTGAAAAGAGAGGGGAATTTTCTCCGGTACACTGGCCAACAATCCCCCAAATAAAATTGGTCATTCACTCCATGGCTGTTTGTGGGGCATTGCTATACACAACCGGCTGCTGCGTTTCGCCCACAAAATACATAGTCAAACCACTTTACAGAATATCCTGTGAAGCACTTTGACGTCTCGATGACTTGATTAGGCTATATCAAATGAAAGGATTATTATCTATATTTACTGCATTCCATACCCCCAACCACCAATAAACTCCTCAATACACAGCTGTGTTATCTTTCCAAGATGATAGTGTCCCCAAGTCCTGTATAGTATCCAGCCTCTAAGAAAACAACAATCAAACTTATTGTAAAAAAAGGATTTAATAGGGTAAGGAACATCAGTCAGCAACGTAAAGATGCCTGAGTGTGAAGAACACTCACCACAACAATCTATAAAAAAAAACTGCTTCATCCTGGCTGTAAGCGGTCAAGGGCACATTTGCCCCCCGGCATGTGCATTGCATAGTCTCTCTCTGCCACAATGCACTGACAAATGTGGTTCAGTTACTTAAATGTTTATATTCCCCTCAGACTAGCATTCTCAAGTTTAATATGAAACAAATTAATTTGCTATTACGATCTTTCACAAAGTTTCATCTCTGTCAGCAATATATTTAAAATTATTATACCATCTCAATTACTGGCACACAGAATTAACCAGCTACATGCACAAGCAAGGGCAATAAGCTGGCTACATGTTTTAGACCTTACCAAACAGAAAGAAAATGATCAAAAAAGGAACCCAGAGAAACAAAATCCAACTAAACAGAGAAGCAAAATTATACTTGTATATGGTACTGAGACAGCAGTGATTGTGGAAATGATTCATTCACAACATCATAAGGCATATACTGTACAGGATTTGCACCTTAACTGGAGAGAATGGCTTCAAAATAACTATGCTCCCAGCTACGCTGAACTAAAGTGCGTTCTTTGCTCTATTTCTAAACTTCCATCAGTTTATTTTGTTACACAAATACATTTAAAAAAATTTTTTGTTTAAATTGCAAATAGTACCCATAACATTTACACTGTAGTTCAGCTCTTGGTAGAATGCAGATTATATGTGACATTACATAGTACAATACAATAGAAATGCACAAATCATGGGTCTACTGGAGTTGTATGTGGATGGGGAGTTATTATTCATTGGCAACATTCCTTGCCTGACTGGGATAGAGTGAACAGAGTTCCCAATGAGCTATTAGTCAGAGGCATTGCCCAGTTTTATGTGCACTAGTTTAACACAATGATCCGTGTTGTAGGCCAAGAAATGTACACCAAGCACAATTGTATAGTACTAATGGCTTGTACACATTACCATATCCTGTGACATAGGTTATCCCTCTCCAATTGCATGCTAATATTCATTTGTCCTTGCTCCCACTGTACTGAAATACTTTAATAGTGATATTCAGATTGTCACAAACTAAAGAAATGCCATTTCTGTCAAACTGAATATACAAATCTGGCTTAAATCAAGCATAATATGTAAACTATAATGCAAATAACCTGCAAAGTTCCACAGGGGATTTAAGGAATAAAGAACACTGAAGTTAATGTAGTCATTTGGCCAATTGTACTAAGTATCAATATTCAGCAGCTTAATTGCTATAATTATTTGAGTCCGCAAAGATCCATGCACATGCTAATGCAATTATAGGCCTATTCATTGACATAAACTAAGTGTGAGCACACTTAAAACAGATGCAAAGATGACAAGGCTTTAATTCAGGAATTATCCTAAAGGAAGTTTAACCCATTGAAAACTACAGTACGATCCCAATGAATGCACTCATTCAGGAATTGCAGTTTTAAATTCCAGGCTCAACTGTAATAGCATTGCACCAAGCTGCAGTGGGAATGGACTGTAAATCAGAGGATATAGTCAAGATCTGGCAATCTTAATAGAATATGCATCCAAGCTCAACTCTAGCAAATTAATTTCCAGTTCAGTACAGATAAATGCAAAATATTGCATATATGAAGCAGAAAATAGGCACATTTACTCCATGGATAGCACAGAACTCGATAAGGAAGAAGCTCAAAATGATCTTGTGTTGTTGATTGAGTTCATACCTCACTATATCCAAAAAGTGTGAGGTAGCCATAAACAACATAACATAAACTGGGCTATGTTGTCAAATGCAATACACCGTATAAAAAAAGGCAACCTTTAGGAAGAATGCCAGAAATTAAAATTGAAATTAAAAGTTGCTTCCCATTTCTGCCTCCATTTAACTGGTAATTGTTATAAACTGAATACAGTAAGATGGCAGCCATTGCCTAGCAACACAAATACAGTGGATGAACTAATGATCTTCCAAAGCAAACCTAAATCACCTGCAAAGCAATAACTTACATTTGTCATGAGTATTGGCTCAACAGCACTAATGTTCATAAGATTGGTGCACTGTCATGTCAAATCCCTTACTTAATAATGGCTGTTAGTACCTGCTAGTAATGCTGGAAATGAAAGCAAAATATTCATCACAAATATTAGAAACAGATGGGTAAAATGATTTGAGAGGGCAACAACAACAAGATCACATTGGTATAGTGCCTTTCATGTCGGGAGGATGTCCCAAAGCGCTGGACAGTGTACAGCATTTTAGACCCCCACTGGGGTCAGGGCAAATGGTTGTACACAGTACACAAAGTCCGCAGACAAAATATATTTATCCAGTAGCTCAAACTGTAAAAGCATCCGAAAAGACAGAAATGAAATGCTGTACATTCCAAAAATGCATTTCATCCCCTTGTGATGTTTCCTCCGCCCAAAAAAACTGTTAGTTAGTCTTCACTTCAAGTCCTATTTCGAAAGCACATTTTTCAAGCAACTCACTGCCTGAAGTGGTGGCTGAATCAGACAGTATACAGTAGAAACTTGGTTTACGATCACCTCAGGAATCCAGCCACCTCACAACTGCGGACACATTTTCACAGTCTCTTTCATTGTCAATGTTAAAAGATAGGCCGTCTGCTTCAGTAAACCGGGCACCTCATTAGTCTGGACAACGGTCAATGATTGTGGCTGCCACAGCGCTCTCCTCTGCTGCAAACTCGGTACGAACATCCCTCCGCTACTAACCTGTACAGTACACAGTGCGTTAGGCCTTGGGCTTCTCACGTTGTTTCCTCAATGTTGCTGCTGTGGGTGAAGTGGGCTCTGGTCATGCATGTGCGGGGAGTGTTGGGATCGCGGAAGACGGGTGAATGGAAAAATCAACTTCGCCCGGCACCTGCGGCCTAACCTGAGCTCCTACGGCCAATTCTTCGTAAGTGTTGCATTCAGAGCACATGGTCTGTGTGTACATTGTTTTGATTTAGTGACTGTTGATAAGTGTTGTAAACATGCCACCACGGAAGAGTTGTCCTTACGTCAGACAGTGGACTTGATCAAGAACAGTGAGTACAAAAGTCATAGACAGTTAGCTGTGATTTACGGCATTGACAGAACCCAAGTTGGATGCATTCTCAAAAGGTAGGCTGAATACATGACAGCTTTTGTTTTAAATGTGACATTGCCTTTATTTTAATGAGACTGCAAAATATGGTTGTTGAATGTTCATTACCCTTGTCCATTCATTACCAATGCCCTTAGTATTACATCAGTGACCTGATCACCTGACCTGTTTCAGTAATCGGGTCACCTCACTAAGTAGGTCACTCTTGCCCAGTCACTTGAGTGACCGGATTAGTGAGGTTATACTGTAGATGTATTCAAGAGGAAGCTCAACCTTCACATGAGGGAGAGGTGAGCAGAAAGATGTGGGAGAAATCAACAAATGGGTGGAGACTTATGGAGTATAAACACCAGCACAGACTGGTTGGGCCCAGTGGCCTGTTCCCATGCTGTACATTCTTTGTAAGAAGAAGATCACAAGAGAACACTCCTGAAATCCTCCTGTAGTATTTGTCCACAACATCAAAGGGGCCCTTCTTCACATGTGATACTTTAGGCACTATTATGTGCCAATTACTGACACTAACAACTTTTTTGTTACATGTCTATAATGAGAAAATATTGTCAGTGTTAGCAATAGGTCTGCAATCAGACCCTAATGCTGCTTAAAAAACCTGGATGGTGAAAACTGATTTTAAAATCAGAGGAATAAGGCAGGAAGGAATGGAAGGAAAATAAGCTAAACACCAAAATGCAGAGATGAAAGTACAAAAAGTAAAAGGGGAATAATGAAAAGGAAGAAGAACAGCAGATGACACACAGAGTATAGAAATCAAATGAAGGGACAATCATATTGAAGCATTTGAGTTTCTGATGTCTGTGTCCACTTTCATCTCTTCCAGAAAATACATCTTACAGAGAACCTACCTCCTGAACCAGCTCCCTGTGCCGATGGCTCTCCATCCCCCGGAGGATTGAATTTAAGATCCCCATCCTCATTTTTAAAGCCTTCCATTGTCTTGCTCCTCTCTACCTCTGCTAACTGCTAAAACCTTATCGACCTGCCCATTCCCTCCACTCAGCAGGCACTGGCCTGCTCCACATCCCCCACCCTGCCACCAAATTTACATAATCGTCAGTTGAGCCTTCAACCTTTCTACCTCCACCATCTGGAACTCCATCCTGGAATTCCTTCACCTTGTCCCCTCCCTTGCCTCCTTCAAGGTCCGCCTCATGACCTTCTTTGAATGTGCCTTCGATCAATCTCCCATTCCCACATCCTTTGCTCTCCACTTCTTAATTCCAACCCCCAGCTCGGGAGTAAACCTTTGAGTGTCCAGCGCCTTGGGACATCATCCCAGTGTGAAAGGTGCTATATAAATCCAATGTGTTATTGTTGTTGCCTCGAGGTTGGATCATAAATGAAAAAAGGGGGGAATTGCTAGACGTTACGTCGTTTTCTGGGGTCACATATTATTTATCTAGCTCTGTAAATATGTATACTTTAACCAAATAATATTAAGTGCACAGTGGCTGTATTCATCAAAGCTGTACTTTTGAGACAGTTATAAAAACAGCATGTTTGCTATAATGCTAAATTTGCCATCTTGGGTTACCTGCATAAGACCTCATTGGAAAGCACATATCAGAATCTGGTCTTAAAAATACAGTAGTGCTGTGTTGTCCCTTTAAGTAGGTTATGATTTGTGGTCATTTGCAAGTTAAAGGCTCGACTGTTCTGGAAAACCAGCCTAGCAGTGCAAGAACAGAGACCAATATTACAGCAAACGAATAAAAACATTTCACTCACTTAACAAGACATTCTCTGCTCCTAGTCTACACTTCCTAGAAATTCACTAGCTTTAATCCAGTAACATTTTACTCCATCTAGAAAAACATAACTCCCGCAAGTTGGAAGCACAACAAAACCAAGGAAAATCATCTAGGGATTTAGAATAAGTGTGAAATGACAAGCAAATTTGGCTTGTATAATAAACAGGAAAACAGTTAATAGTCATTACACTTCAGAAGGTATCTGTTAAATATGGTTTTGGTATCACCACTGGCAAGGGTTTACTCTGCCTACACTTGGCCAACTTGAGCTTGCTGCTCATCTCTTGCCAGCTTCGGGCCACCGTCAATGGCTGAGCCTTCAGCTACTATGGCCCTAGCCTGTGGAATGCCTTCCTCTACCCATCTATTTCACCTGCTCTCTATCCATCTTTAAACCCTACCTAAAAACCTTCCTCATCAATCATACCTGTGGTCACTTCCCCGCCTCCTTCCCCATCTCCCTTGCTCGATATCCAAACCCCATCATTTTAAAGCACTCCAAGATGTTATTCTACATGAAGGGTGCTATACAAATTCAGGTTGTTGTAGGTCATGCACTGAGGTTGTGATCACTCAATACCAAAGATAAATTTAACCAGATGAACAAGATCACTGAACATTTTGTACCTGATGTGCGTAGCAGGAAGGGATTCATATTGACGAGATAGAAATAACTCCCGGTGTTTAAGCTGATGTTTCTGGTTTTCTGTCAATTCTGAAATGATCGTCATCTCCATCTCTTCCTCCATTTCTTCTGCACAGGACAAAGGACAAAATCAATAAGACACAGATCACTTTGGAAGGAGATTTTGAACTTTTTAAAAAAAATTACATATTACTCCCTAACTGCAGGGCACAGTTAATTTATATATTAAATGCAAATATCATGCAGTCTTGCTGATCTGACATACATCCACAGTACTCTAAAGAAACTCAGAAATGTTATATGTTCAAAGTTCATATTGGCTAACAGCAGGCAGCAGTTGGAAAATATAACAAGGACATGAAATGAACCTTGGCAATTGTTGGGAGTGCACAAACTTTTGGAAATATTGTAATGAAGTGCCAATGGATAATGGATTTCTCATAGCCTGTTGCAACTCCAGCAATTGTGGTCCAACTAGTGATGGTTGTAACTAAACTAAATTCTTAAGAGCAATTATTAGCAAGAGTTTGTGATAAGAGCAGTCAACGACTGAGTTACAGTCCTGTAGTTCAGTAGTTAGAGCACTTGCTTCGCAAGCAAGCCAGAGACCTGGGTTCGATTCCTGGCAGGGTGAAACCTTGGGCAAGCTTCCTTACTCCACATGCCTGATAATAATCCTCAAGGAAAAAAAAATAATAATAAATTGGTCACTTCAATCGATAATTGTTTGTGGACACTGCTGTGTGCAATTGGCTGCTGTGTTTCGCCCACAAAATATGCAGTCAATTAATTCACTTTCCAGTATATTCCATGAAGCACTTTGAGACATCTAGAAGACGTGAAAAATGCTATATCAAATGCAAGGATTATTATTATTAATAATGACTGATAATTGGAATAAATGAAATCCAGGATCTTCCTTGTCATGCATTTAAAATTACAATGTCAACAAAGTGCAAGATTTCCATTAACATACAGCATAAACTGCTAACTAAACCAGATATCCAAACACATCTAGATGTCCAGTTACTGCAGCCTATTATATTACAATAGATACAATTAAAAATGAGTTTGATGAAGAGATTAAGTGGGTAGATTAGCAGAGTTCACAGCTACTTTATCCATCACAGCACCACCACGCAACATTCTAGGCAAGTGAGTGAAATGCTTTAAAAACAATGTGTAAACAATATAGGACAAATATAGGACAAGCTTGACGTTTCCCATATACAAAATCAACTTGTAAGCTCAAATATATGTCTCTAAATATCAGAAGCTAAAAAACAAGTTTAATTCAAATTAAAAAGCAAATTCAACTAAATTAAGCACCCTTTAAAATGACTTGAAGGTTGGTTTGGAAGAGATTAGGAAAAGGAGAATTTCGACAAAACGCACCCCAAATATTTTTGTTTCCTCATTTTTAATGGGTATACTGAAGCCAGAAAAACAATAATATATTAACATTACCTTTGTTGTATTTTGTAATACAGTCATTTTATAATAAATACTGGGATTAATTTCAGTCATGTTCCTAAGCTTTTAATCAGTATTACCAATTTGCACTTATTCCATTCCATGTAGGATAACATCTCAAAGCACTTTACAAAGAAGAAATGGATCACCAAGAAATCTGGGAAGAATAGATCGAGGCCCACAATGTTGATAAAGGATTAAGAGTGAGACCATGATTAAACTATATATTTGAAAAATTAAAAGAAAAATGATTGGCACTATTGAAGAATTCGGATCCTTGTGCAAAATAATGAGATGCCTATAGCTACATCAGTGTAAGGGGGGGAAAGAAAATCTGGGTTCCTGCTTCACATAGCTGTCTAGTGACTCCTGCTGTAATCAGCGGCTGGTGGGCTGCTTCAATGTCATCATTGCTTACGTTACGAATAATAGTAAGCAGCAAAACAATGAGGTTACCAACGATTCCAAGCTGGGGTTGCAAATATAGCTAACTGAGAGCACAAAACCCCAACTGGGAAAGATCTGAAATAGACTGGGATGACAAGTGGCCAATGCTATTCAAAGTGATGAGAGCTGTGCGCACTCGGCTGCCACTTTTCGCCCACAAAATATACAGTCAATTCACTTTACAATGTATTCTTTGAAGCGTCTCGAAGACGCGATAAGGCAAATGCAAGGATTAATATTATTATTGGGAAGTGCGATAGAGAATACTACGACTACAAGTGACTAGCATTGGATCATTGCAACCTCCACAACAACCGATGAAGTACAGTGTCCCAGGCTTCCTGAGGCTCCAAGCCCGAATCAGCACAGGCATGTCTCGGACACCCACAAGGCCGCCTTCAGGTGCAGTTCAATCTCAAGCCATGGTAAGTCTAAACTGCAAGTCCAAGAGCCCAGTGCAATACAGTGGCAATCTGTCCTAAGCAGTAGTAATCTACACAACACTGGAAAGGGATCCAAGAGAAACCATGGATAATCATATCAGTGTTGTAGGTGACAGAAGTAAATAAAGAAAATTAGATCTTAAAAAATGTCTGGCCTCATATGAAATACAGTGTATAATTTGGGTCATCATATTACGTTGGGGACATAATGACATTACAAAGAGTACATCAGATTGATAACACAAGTTAAGCACCTAAGCTAAGAGGTTCAAGAAAGATGTTATTGAAACACTAAAAATGTTATGGAGTAACAACAACAACAAATTTCATTTGTATAGCGTCTTTCATGTTGGGAGGACGTCCCAAGGCGCTGGACAGAAAAAGTTACGGACCCAATCTGGGGGTCGGGGAAGATGGAGGGCAGGGGGGGGAAGCAGGGAGCTCGAAAGCACGATTGAAGATGAGGGTCTTGAGATGGGTCGAGGCAGCACTGCAGGACGGAGATCCAGAGGCTGGGGCAGAGTGGCAGAAGGCCCACCCGCTAATAGTAGGGCAAGCAAGGCAGGGGACTTGGAAGCAGGCTGGAGCCCCCTGAGCAGAGAGAGCGAGCAGGATGGTAGGGGATTAGGAGTTCGCAGAGGTAGGGGGGAGCAAGACCGTGGAGGGCTTTAAAGGCGAGGACCAGGATCTTGAACTGTATCCTATGTGTGATGGGAAGCCAGTGGAGTTGGGCAAGAATGGGGGTGATAGGATCGGGGAGCCTAGTGCAGGAGAGGACACAGGCTGCAGAGTTCTGGATGATCTGCAGCCTATGGAGCGATGAGTTGGAGAGGCCGACAAGCAATGAGTTTGCGTAGTCAATCCTCGATGTAATAATAGGTTTAAAATAGTCTAACTAATAGTCAAAGGGGACATGGGTTCATCAGAGGGAAAATGGAAAGTTTGGATTGAACTATGATAGAAACTAATTAGGGGAGGTAGATCGCACTGATAATTTCAAGAGGGAGCTGGATAGATGCTTTGTGGAGCAAACTATTCAATGAGTATGAGAGAGAAGCATAGTATTGTAGTTTCCAAACTTTGGAGCTGGTTAGAATGACTACAGAGTTTCTTTCAAGCCTTGTACATTCCTATTGATTAAGACTAATCTCTGCACACAGTATTTAACAAATAGTGCTACTACGGAACAACAATAATAATCCTTGCTTTTGATATAGTGCTTTTCATGTCTTCTAGACATCTCAAAACACTTCACAGAATATACTGGAAAGTGAATTGACTGTATATTTGTGGCCAAAATGCAGCAACCAATAGCGCACAGCAGTGTCCCACAAACAGCTGTGGATTGAGTGACCAAATTATTTTTTTTTTGAGGATTATTCCAGAAAAGCGATCCGCTAATCGACTAACAACCAGGTTCCTACTTACTGCTAGGTAAACAGAGGCGTGTGGAGTAAGGAAACTTGCCCAACATTTCACCCTGTCGGGAATAGAACCCAGGTCTCTTGCTTGCGAGGCGAGTGCTCTAACACTGAGTTACAAGACCTTCAATGTGGATGAAATGTACAAATACTGTTCAAGACAAAATGCTAAAATCTAAATACAACTCTGTCAGAATGGAGCTGTTATTTTCAATTTCTATGCACAAACACTTTTCATTTATAACTGCTCCACTGGCTGACAGATGTCCTCTTAAGCACAGCTATTTATTTCCTGCATATTTGAAATTAAATTGAATTGACTGTAACTGATTTTGGCGCATAGATAACTAGCTTGTCAAAGTTCTGACAACTCAGTTAAAAGATGTTTGTCACTTTAAATAGTTATTCTCAGTCTATGAATCTGAGTTATCGAAAATAAGAATTAAGCTTAGAGCATTTTAAGCTTGATAAGATTTTAAACTAGATTGAAGAAACTACAACAACAACAAATCACACTTGTATAGCGCCCTTCACGTCTGAAAGATGTCCCACGGTGCTGAAACGACCCAACACATTGTAACGTTAAATGTCTTTCTTGACATGGTTTATGAAAGTTTAGACTGGCTACGAGTTAGTGCAGGGTTAACGATGTGCAAAACTGTTCCATGTAACACCCCCACAGCTGGCACAAAGCCAGCAATCCCTGGAGGTGATATGAAAAGCTTATACACTGTGCATGCAGCTACTCTGCTGGGTGCTAAGATATCATGCGTAGTCCGCTTCTAATCCAGTACCTTTGTCACGTTTTAATGGTTTATAAATGTGTTACGACAACACAATAATACACAAAAATGGCTTCTAAAGGAATGTTTTATTCCCCATTATTAACCTGCCATGATCTGGCTGTTGACGGAGCCAAGGAGTGATGACTGGAGAATGCCACAGCCCGTGCAGGACTGACAGGAAACCCCTCTTATAACAGCAGTTCTCACCAATCTGTCTTTTTTAACCCTTTAAACCCATCAATGCACAACATTGGCCATAATTTAGTCACCAGACACCAACCCGTGCAAATCAGTCTATAAAACCCCGAAACACACAATGTTACTTATCATCCCCACCCCGGCTCCACATTTTAATCTTTTAACCCCTTCAAGGCACAAATGCTTAATGACATAATATAAGCGGTAACACACCTCGTGACAAAAAAATCACACTAAAATTACAGAGGTTCAAAGTCTCAAAACTACAACAGTCATTGTAGCAGAATGCTAACCATGACTGCCTACCACAGCCTACAGTGTATGATCTGAGCACTCTGAGA